GGAAGAAAACCACAACACATCCAGCAATATGTAATATCAGGAGATGTGGAATCAAACACCTGTTAAGCAATACTCACTAAATATAACCACATATGTGTATAAATCTTTTGAAAGTTTTCTCGCTTAATAGCAAAAGACAAAAAGTAACATACTGTTTAAAAAACACTTGTTCCTTGTACCACAGAAATAAGGATGAAATGCTGGTAAACAATTAAGGGGAAAAAAAATCCTGATGCATCTTTTTGTCAAAAAGTACTACTGGATGATAAGTAGAAAACAGTGCTGACAATCTGAAGAAATAAATACAGAAATATATTTTCCAGGGTGAAAGGTTGGATAAAAAGAAAGCTGCAGCTGGGCAGAGTGGCTCACACCTGTAATCCCAGCACTTTGGGAGGCTGAGGCTGGAGGACTGCTTAAGTCCAAGAGTTTGAAACCAGCCTAGGAAACTCACAAGATCTCATTTCTATTTTTTAAAAAATCAAAAAATTAGCCAGACGTGATAGCGTGTGCCTATGGTCCCAGCTACTCAGGAGAATAAGGCGGAAAGATCACCTGAGCCCAGGAGGTCAAAGCTGTGGTGAGCTGAGATTGTGCTACCGCATTCCAGTCTGGGCAACAGAGTGAGATCCCTACTCCATTTAAAAAAAAGAAAAAGAAAAGATATTGTCTCATCCTATAATATCACTACAGGAAGAAAGATATTAAAGTACAGACAAAGTGGAATATATTTCTCAAAACTAATTTACCTTTTAACAAAGCAGTGTTTTGTGGGCAAACGACTTAAGTCTAACCCCTGACAAAATGGCTATTTGATTGGAATTATTTTAAGTCAAATGGTGGATTCTCCATTAAGAATTCAGCGAAAGCATCACTAAATAATTCACAGGCAAGAAATGCCCCACATGCTGAGAGTATGACTGAATTTTATAAAATTAAGACCTTTCATATAAAGTATAATATTTACAATTCTTTGGGATATGAAAGGAAGTACCCATGAAAAATACTTTTGATTAAGCCAGGCATGGCAGCTCATACCTGCAATCCCAGAGCTTTGAGAGGCTGAGGTGGGGAGGACCTCTTGAAGACAGTTCAAAACCAGCCTGGACAATATAGTGAGACTCCATCTCTACAAAAAAATTTAAAAATTAGCCAGGCGTGGTGGTATATAACTGTAATCCTGATTACTTGGGAAACTGAGGCAAGAGGATCACTTGAGACCAAGAGCCTGAGGTTACAGTGAGCTAGGATCTCATCACTGCACAACAGCCCAAGTGACAGAGCAAGACTGACTCAAAAAGGAAAAAAAAAAAACTGACTCACCTAAATTTCTTTATATATCTCAAGGTAAAATATTTTTAAAAGAACTATAAACTTGAAGAGGTGTTTTACATGTATTCTTTACACAAAGGCAAGTTTTTTGACCTTTCAGAAGCTATAAATGGCTACCAGTAAATTGCTACCTAGGCAGATAAATATTTTTGAAGTCTAATTTGAATCTTCAGGGTGAAAGCTATGTTTCATCAATGGGACAGAATGGAACTACTTTCAGAGAGAGATTTTTGATATGGAGAGAGCATACTGAAAACAGTTATTTGAAAGTATTTTCATCATTATATGATTAAGTTGCCAAAAACTATGTGTGACACCTACAAACACTTTCATCTTTATACAACTAAAATATTTGTATGTAGAATTTTTTTTAACTTGGTTTAAAATGTTTCAAAAATTTCAATAAATTTTTAGCCTATTTGTTGACAAAGTAAACATGCAGCATCTTCTAATAAATATGCAAGAATGACAGATTCACACCAATAAAATGAATATTTACTAGTCAGATCAACTGAAATATCTTTGCAAAATTGAAAAATAGGATGGAAAACATTGGTAAGTGTAATACTGTTTCCTTCTGAACCTGCTTATCTCTAGAAGGTATCTTTTTCAGCTATAACAGCCCCTAAAGCCCAAACTGAAATTAGAACCAGAGTTTTGAATCATTCAAAAGGTGTTAAATAAGGTTTTCAAAAAAATGTCGTTGTATTGTTCTCCTTTAAAAATTAAGTATATTATATATTGTGTATTCTATTTCAATATGATCTCATCCTTTTGTGCACATATCTTATAATGTGTATGCTATTTAGAAAAATACATATTATATATGCATACATATATATATATATATATATATATATATATATATACACACACACACACATACATACACACACACATACAAATAAAAACATATATTTGGGGTGGATGCATATAAGGATTGGAAACTACCCTTAGTGGGCAGGAGATCTAAGAGCTGCCAAGTACAGGAAAGAAGACAGCCAAAAAGAAGCAAAGGAGGAAAGCATAAAGAAGGAAAATAGCACAGATAATACAACACATAAGACAAACGTGCAGACTGGCCAAGACAGTGTGACTTCAGTAACAGAAAACTCATTCTGGAAAAATCCAATCCTGAGTCAATGCTGAGGGGACAGAATCTCAGCAGCAATCAGCAACCCACATAAAACACAAACAGTGTACAGTACAGGCAGGGCCATATTCACTCTTTCATCAAGAATTTATTGGCTGTTTATTTTGTACATCTGTGGTCATTCCTGGAGTAAACAATGAATTTGGCAGAGAGTTTGCCTTGAGGGGATCATAGGCTAGTAGAGAAATTAAGCATGTAAACATATGATTAAAATGCAATGTAATCAACTGAATTCCAATGATCTCTGCAAGAAAAAAACTGAGACCAGGAAGTGAGCTTCTGCGGCAGGCCACCCAAGCCTAGACACATTTATCGATCTCTCTGTTAGCGGGACTTTCTGATTAAATGTGAAATATTCTCAGCAATAGACTAGAACTTCAAGTAGTTTACTTTCTAGTAAAACAAAGCATAGTTCTATAGAATAGACAGCAAACACAGGCCTATGTTCAGGGTCTGACATGTTTCCAATTCCCCAATACTTGGAACCACTTTTGTTCAGATTTAGTTGTTATCTCTATTCCACCCAGACTGCCCCCTTACCTGAGGCCTCATCATTCCTGCTTCATGTTAGCCTGCACTGAAGTGCTCGCTTCCTGAGTTCAAGGCCTTGTCCTCATTCTCTGCTGATGCCCTGGTCAGAGTTACAGTGTTATTACCACCTACATTGCCAGGGCGTTTTCTCCCTTCTGATACCCTCTGTACAAAGACCACTGTGCGTTATTGATCACCAGGTAACAGTTCTCCTTCCAGGACCAGGCTGTGGTCCTCTGATTTTCCTGAATTGCAGCATACTGCATTTTCTGGCCAGTTGACTCTGTATTCTGTCTGCACTTGGGGAGCTGGAAGACTAGGTTATAAACGCTTTCCTTTGGTAGAAGAATAGCACAGGTTGAGTTCAGTGCAAACTTTCTAGACCTGCAGCAGATCAGGAATTCTGCTGAACCATTTCAGACCAACAGTTATGTCAGCCACATTAGCATTCACTTTAACCTGAAAGCTGAAATAACACTTAACAGGATTTTTAACCAGTACAATACAGTAACTTCATAGCTTGAAGGAATTCTGTTTCCCTCCCATTTTTCATTGTACATACTATTACAAATCCATTTGACATTTTAAAAGTGTTTTTACTTTTGTACATAAAACATCAACTCATGGGCTGTTATCCAAAGAATAATAGATTGGTATTTTAAATGGAACATTTCTGAACATATTCAATTAACTCACTTAAAAAAATTATCAAACACCCACTGTATGTCTAGACCTCAGTGTAAGTATAAAGATCACTTCTGTTCTGTGGAGCTTACAGTCTGGTGAAGGGAGCAGATATGAAAACAAATAATGGATACAGAGAACAACATTATCAGGAGGTCAGTGGCCAGGGCCACTGAAACAAGAGAAGGAATGCTAACCCTGTCCTGGAAAGCAGAGGAAGACCTCATGGCAGAGGTGACGCTGGAGCAGAGTCTCGAAGGATAAGCAGAAGTTTTCCAGATGAACCAAAGAAGAAAGCATTTAAGGCAGAGGGAAATGCACACTTGCAGAGTACAAAGGGCAGAAGAAGCCTGCAATGCTCAGCCGGTGGTCCAGCAGAAGGGGTAGAGACAAGGCTAGAAAACGTAGGTGGGAGACCTTTGTAAGGGGTTTTATACACAATGGAGGGCCATCCAGCTATTTCCCTGGAGGCTCTGAACAGCCAATCCACAATCCCAGCTAGCGCTGCTTCATGATCAGACTGTGTTTTATAAGATCACTTCAACTGCAGCTCAAGAAATAAACGGGAAGGGGCAAGACACAAGGCAAGGGAAGCCAGGTAGGAGACTCCCACCTCGTTCAGCCTGGAAACACTAAGAGGCTGGGCAAGCAGCCACAGGATGACTGAGAGGGAAGAACAGGTGTAAGAGGCATTTTGAAGGCAAAATCAACAAGACCTGGTCACGGGCCAGATGTGGGATGTGAACAAGAGAGCCAAGTCTACTAAGACTCCTGGGTTTCTGGTGATCACCAAATCCTCCCCCCTCATCATTACTACTCCCTAGCTGCCTTGCCATTCGCCAACATCTAACTCACAGCAAATTTCATTTCCAAAGCAGAAGCCATAAGTAAACAGAAATAATTTCTAAGATATCAGATCTTAAACTCACACATAGCAATGAGAACCAACTGGTTGAATGAAAGAACTGAAATCATAAGAGGTTTCTGTCTATGAACCACCAAAAGCTACAAAGTGTCAAACATAAAATTTCAGAGTGAATAAATGAAGTCACTATGAAGTGTAGTAATATTCTTGGGGAACTTTGTACCCAAAGCAAACACCAACAAATCAATTACTAATCACTGCGTCTCCCTATGCCTGCCGGAGACTCACCAGGTCATGATGGGGCATAATGAAACACAGTGTGAATGCCCTGTGAGCTTACCTTCCTCTCACACGCAGTGGGAGCACAGTTCCTCATAAACACTTAACTTAAACTGCAAAGCAGAAAGATCAACTTGCTACATTAACACCAGGACATTAAGCTGAAAATCATATGGTGACAGCTTCCATTTTAATTAATATTCTACGGTTTTATGTAAGGCATTGTATAATTACATGTTAAAAACTCAGTCACTGTAATATGTAATTTCCACTACTTTTCAACACGGGAAAAATATGCAGTTTGCTTTCCTCTCCTACAAAACACTGACGATTTGGCTGTAGTCATCTGGACTTAAGATGCTGAGGAGTCTTCGTAAAGAATTTCGTCTACCTTCATGTCGTTTTCGTCCACTGGGACCTGGAGGCAAATCTGTTCTTTGAAAGCCAAGGCCAAGATATAGGGCTTCACTTCCTGGTGCTGCAAACAGCGCTTCAGGTAGGTGTCATAGTAGCCCTTGCCCCTGCCCAGTCGGTTGCCGTGTTTGTCAAATCCAAGACCTGGCACGAAGATGAGATCAAGTCCCCCTGTGGGAAAGAGGAACAAATTTAAGAGGGTCCATGGTTTCTGAAAGATCACTGCAGGATGTCATTTTTGTTTTTTAATGACATTCTCTTTCAGATTACTAAAGAAATATATAATAATTGTAGAAAATCCAAAAAGCACAGAGTTGGACAAAAAAGGAAATACAACTTACTCAGCAACTCCCTAAATCCTTCTTCACCTATCCCTCCAGCAGTTCTTTTATATATATCCCAAAATGCCACATTCCCAGGTCCAACTCAAGTCTAAAGAGAATCTCCAGAAGTAAGACCTTTTTCTTCTTTTTCCTCCTCCTCCCCCTCCTCCTCCCTTCTCCTTCTCCTTTTCCTTCCTTTTTTTTCTAGCACCCAGATGATTCTACATACCTGTTAGGTTTGAGAATCAATGCTCCGGGATAATGACAGTTGGAAGAGTGAGAGAAGACCAGGGAGGAGTTGGAAGAGTCAGAACCGTTCTCGGGGCAGCAAGCAGGAAGCGTCAGCTGTTAAGAGTACCAAGCAGCTCAGACAGCCTCCTCCTTCTTCATTTCCCCTCCCATTGGTGAGTCAAGGCCAGGCTGTTGGGCTTCCCAGATTCACATGAGAGTAAACTTTGACCTACTTAGGGACACACCAAAGGTACAAGATGGGCTCCTATAACTCTTCCTCTGCCTGGACCCCTCCTAAGTAACACAAGGACCAGAACTGGCCATGGATCATCAGGACAAAACAGCAGCTGAAGCTCACAGTGAAAGGCAGGTCTCGGAGGCTATAAAAGTCAACTACAGTGAAGGCAATAAAGGTCATGAAGAACCTCCATGGATTTTATGAGCCCAGGGAATGGTCCTCCAGTCTCCATGACAAGGAACATGAGACACCAGTACAAGCACAAAAGCCAACATCACATGTCTGACCCAGAGGTCTACCCTGTGGCCTTCCTGTACTGGGCTCCCGACAGCTTTCCTGGCAGCCTCTGGGTGACCTACAGCTTAGTCATAGACTAACCACTTATCCAGCATTGCTGGCAAGACCTACCAGGGCTGGAAGCCATGAATTCTCTGGAACAGAGTGTCTGAAGTAGAGAAGTTGAGACTGCCAGCTAAGCCAGCCCCCGCTATCAGCAGCTGTTCTAACTACCTACAGAACTGTGAAGTGAACTCAGCTTCTCTCTGACTCCCAACATACACCTGCCGACTCTGCCTGCCAAAATCCAGCACAGTTTGTCTCAGATTACAGTAATGACCTTCCCATGGAATCTTGCTTGTCTATTCCAATTCCAACTTGCTAAAAGGTTCTGGTCACTGACCTTTGTCTTCCCTCCCCGTCCCTGTCCAGCTTACTTGCCTCTCTTGAGATTGACAGTGGCAACAGAGAAAAGCACTGTAGACCTCAGTAGAGGGAGAGCAATTCTAGCTGGGCGGTTAGGAAAGAATTCCTGGGGAACTTTGACTTGACCTGAATTTTTAAGCCTATGTCATAGTTAGGTCTGCATATATTTCAGAAACCAAAAGAAGGGTGGCAGAAGCAGAGTGAGGGAATGAGGAGAGAGAGGGAATGTACCTGCTGGGGCAGAAGGAGAAAGCTGAGGGGGAGCAAAAGACACAAGCGTAGAGTTCACCAGGCATGGAGACTTGGGAGTCAAAGGCACAGAGAACCTCTACAACATGATAACAAAAACAAAAACAAATAAAAAAGCACATAAAAATGGGCAAAGGACTTAGAGAGACATTTCTCAAAAGAAGACACACAAATGCCAATACTCATATGAAAACACATTCAACATCACTAGTCATCCAGGAATCACAAAACAAAACCTCAGTGAGATACCACCTCATATCCATTAGGATGACCAATACCACAAAAAAAAAAACAACAACAGAAAAACAAAAACAAAAAAAACTTGGCAAGGATATAAAGAAATCAGAACCCTTGTGCACTATTGGTGGGAATGTAACATGGTACAGTCATTATGGAAAACAGTATGCAAGTTCCTCAAAAAATTAAAAAACAGAACCACACTATGATCCAGCAATCCCACTGCTGGGAATTTATCCAAAAGAACTGAAGTCACTCACATGTTCACCACAGCACTAGTCACAACAGACAAGATACAAAAACAACCTAAGTGCCCATTAGTGAATGAATGGACCAAAAAAATGCAGTACATGCATAGAATGGACTGTTATTCAGTCACATAAAAGAAGGAAATTCTGCAATATAAAAGACATGGATGAATCTTGAGGATATTATGCCAAGTGAAATATGAGGGGACCCAAAAAAACCCAGAATTTATTTATTTAAAAAATTGTTATTTATTTTTACATGTTTAAACTTCAGTCACTTTAAAAGTACTGTTTGTTTGATGCAATACACCAATCAAGAAGCTTTTTCCACTGCTAAAAATTTTTGAACTTGTCAATTTTGATGCCTTTTAGTGCTTCTGCTGTTTTTTGTTTCACCTCTTCCACATCAGCAAAACATTTCCCTTTGAGGACTTTTTTCATCTGGGTAAACAACAATAAAAAAAGTCATTCACTGCACTCCAGTCTGAGCAACAGAGTGAGACTCCAACTCAAAAAAAAAAAGTCATTCAGGGCAAGATAAGGTGAATAGGGAGGTGGAGCACAGAGGTCATGCTGTTCTTGGTCAAAAGTTGCTGAATACTCAGCGCAATGTGGACAGGTGTATTTGTAAATCATCCATCACAAAATGGGCCAACTCACTGAAAGAATCTCCAAATAATATTATGCAGCCATAAAGAAGGACAAACATATGGACTTCGCAGCAACTTGGATGGATTTAGAGTCTTTCATACTCAGTGATCTATCATAGAAACAAAGAACACAGTACCATATGTTCTCACTCATAAGCGGACATTGAACAATTATCATAATACTATAAGAAAGGGATTGGCAGTAGTGGGAAACTGCCAGGGGAGGGGGGGAATCTCATCAACAAGGGTATCTGCATAATAAACATTTGTATACCTAACCCTGAGTTGTACCCCACATCTTTAAAATAGATAAATAAAATTTAAAAAGAAAGAATCTCAAAAAAAAAAAAATTGACTGAAGCAGAACACAGTCTCTTACAACAACACTACCTGGACACTGATGCCAATGAGTTCCTAGAACACTTACCTAGAGGGGAAAGTCTGTACTACAAGGGGCCCACTCTCCAAAAAATAATTCAGGGTTTTTTGGGACACTCCCCCATAAGTCAGTCAAATACAAATACCATATGATACCATTTATATAAGGTAAGTAGAGCAGTCAAACTCTTAGGAAGTAGGACATGGTCGCCAGGGGCTGGAGAAGTGGGGAGGTGGGGAGCTGCTGTTCAATGGAGACAGAGATTCAGTCGTGCAAGAGGAAGAAGTTCTACAGATTTGCAGTGTGTGCTATAGTTAATAATACTTTCCAGAACTCGTAAAGTTTTAAGAGGTTTGATCCCATGTTACGTTTTATTTACCACAGTTTTTTTTTTTTTAAAGAGAAAGGAGACCAAAAGAGAAGCCAGGAGAAGATCCAGGATTTCCACCAGAGTCAACACACAAGAAACAAAAGACAGAATTTTGGAGTATCCATATTTAGGAAGCTGGAGGAAGAGAATGAAGAAATGAAACAGAAAGGTAAGAAAATGACATTTGCAAATTCCTTGAGCCTGCTCCTCTTCCTGCTACTCCCTGTACTTTGACTCCAGCGCCCACTTATACCTTGTACTATAGCTGGTTGACTGTGCATGGCTCTGTCACCCCCACCAGATAGAAAACTTCCTTGAGGGCCAAAATTTTTTCCAAGTCATCCTTCATGCTTGAATTTTAACAGAATTTTAGGCCAAAGAAATCCTGAAAGATAAGTATTTTATCTGCAGAATGGATCAATCATACCACGGCATCATCTTCCATTTTAATAAATCCAAAGTATATAGGTTTGGACAAAGAGGCAGCATTGTGGGACAAGAAAGTAACAAAAGTATAACTTTGAATGACTGCTTGCTCACAGTGAACTCCTCACCCATGCAGTAAGAAAGAGAATGTTTTTTGGATCATCTGAAATGGCCCTTCCTGGGTGGGGGCCCTGACATCGTATGTGGGGGTATTGCCGCTGAAGTCCCTGCCCACAGGACTGCAACTGCTACTCCCTTCAACCGGGGGCTCACCTGTTGTCCCCGCTTCAGGTTCTCAAGATACCCTCCCAGGCCAGCTCCCACTCCCACTGTTTGGTGAATCCAAGTATTTTCCTGAACCACACAGGGTATTCCTTGCCTGACTTCCTCCACCTCTTGTTGCCCTCACAGTTCTTCCTGTGCCATACCACCATCACCACCCCACCCTGGGACTCCTCACACCTGGGACTCCTCACACTTTTGCAGCACCATGCTAGATGCTTTCCATCCCCAAAGGAGAAGGCTCACCGGGGCTAGGAATCACACACAGGCTCCACAGCCTCCTCTGCACATGCTGGCCCCACACTAGAGGCAGACGCCAGACATACCGTTAACACACCACAAGGTCAATGCTCAGTGGGGGAAACAGGAGAAAACCCCCAGTCCATTCACAGGCTCTCTGCAGGCCTCCAGCCCGGCTCCCTTTTCAGATCACCAAAGGCTCACTTGCAGAGGACACTGGCGTGAACAAGAGCCAGCCCACTCTGGTTTTGTTTTCTCCTGTGTGCGCTTGCTTCACTGGCCCCCGCTAGCATAGAAGGCAACCAGCAGCGACAAAGAGTTCAGCTGCATCAGGATTGCCAACACAGCGTTCAGAGAGAGCTCTCTGGAAGTCACAAGATTGTTCTGCAGAGTCACGGTTTGCTGGGTGTTTTTCTCCAGGCTTCGCTAGCTTTCTATTGAGATCTTGTATTCCAAAACTGCCAAGCTAACCTTTGGAAACCTCACCCGGTCCCACACTTTGTATTTGCTCACAAATATCCTGTCTTTTCATTTGGTGCTGGCTCTGAAACAGCAGCACCCTCTGGAGGCAGTCTGGTGTGATTAGGGGCATGGGT